GCTTCTGGTTACTAGTAGTACGGCCAGGAGCTACTATCTCGCTTGGTCCCTCACCTGCCTTGGCTTCCTTGCTTAGCCTTGCTTAGCCTTGCGTCCTTCTTTTCTAGCTTCTTTACCATTCCTTGTTGCCTGCCTTGCTTCCTTGCTCGATCCAATGAAAACAGAAATAGTTTCCCATGATATGGAACGACTACCTTCCCTTTTTGATTCTCATAAGTGGTAAGAACGAACTGTTAGTTATCCGCAAAGTGCAATGGCCTCCAACCTAAGTGCAATGGCCTCCAACCGAATAGGAATGGCCTTTAACCCAATAGAGGTGGCCTCCAACCTACTAGCGATGGCCTCCATGCTCAAAATCTGACTCTGCAATGTCAAGAATGCTTCTGGCGTGTCCACGGCAGTTGCCTGTGGGCGCTGACGCTGCGAGTTTCACACTGCCAGCCTCTGCAGCAAGTGCCCTTGACTGATCTTCACAAATAGCTGCCTGCTCTTGACGAAGGGCCTGAAGGCTACATGGGCACCACAAAAAAATCCAGCCGCAAACACAAACAGGAAACTCGGAAAACCTAAACAGCATTTCGCGTACCATGCCTCGAGTTCCTGTTCCAAGTATTCATTCCTGCGAGACAGAACTAAGGAACCGAGCGGTGGCCTCCATCCTAGTAGCGATGGCCTTCAACCTAGTAGCGTCCTTGCTCCTAGTAGCGATGCCCTTTGTTCCTAATTAGTAGCTTCTTGCTCCTAGTAGTAAGGCCAGGAGCCGCTAGTTGCGTCCTTGCTGCTAGTAGCGCTCCCTTTCCAACTCTCAAAGCTGGGTGTGCTCCCGCAAGTGCCTGGACAGAAGAACTTGACCCAATTCCGCCGACCTCATACATCGTCACGTGAGAGGCTCCATGATCAGGCGAAACCAATTGCGAACAAGGAAACACAAAGAAATGTCTACACAGCTCCACACATGAAGGAAATACCAAGTTGTTGCGTTTGTGTAGCCAAACTTCAAAAAAAATCAAGTCGGTTCAGTCTTCAAAGTCGCCTCTCAAAAGCGCACGTGATCAGTTCATCTAGTTCATGCGTTGATACTTCTGACTCGAAACACAGCGCGCAGCTACTGTCAACCGTAGTTACAACGAAACTTCTTCCAAGAAACTGCGGGCAGAAAAGCCTCATTGAGCTCCACATGTTGTTCTCAAAATGGATTTTCAGAAACCTTGTCGCGCTTTTCATTCCTTGTCGTTTTTGCAATGAGAAGAAGAGGTTCTTGCAATTCAGGTCCTGGGAAGACTGAACTTTAACTAGTGGGGTTGCTGTAGATCACCTCACCGTGCCGCACTAGGTGCACCGTCGTGCACCGTCCACCATTTCACACATTTTGTTGAACATCGTCTGAATGCATTCACCCTAGTAGGGATGGCCTCCACCCTAGCAATAGCCTCCATATGCATTCAAGGGGCTTTTGCAACTGTTCACGTGCTTCTGCTTCACCTCGTGTCGAGTCTCTTAGAGTCTCAACGTGGACGCCTGGCGGCACTCCCTGGGGCAGCCACTTTGCTGTGCCTCTAGCAGCTGCGCACGAAGCAGCTCTTCCTGCCGTAAGATGTGTCGCACGAAGAAGGTTTGTCCACGGCAGCCCAACGGCTACAGCCAGCTCTGTCATTTCTGAAACATGCTCTGAGGGTTTGCCAGCTCTGTGCGCACTGTTTCCTTTAAAAAAACAGCTTTACAAATCACCCGCCAGCAAGACAGAGCTGCTTCCAGCCATGTCTAGTGGAGAGAACAACTCTTGCCAAACTGCGCATTGGAAACCAAGAGGAACTTTGACTTGCTGTGAGAGGAAACTACCACAGCTCATGACCAACACTTCTGTTCCTGCTCTATCTTCATCTAGTTTTACCTCCACACTCTGTTTTTTGTGAGTCAACCTGATGCCAGCGGCTTTGGCTAAACCCATGAAATTCGGAGCCACAATAGCTTGGAAAACTGAAACGACTGTGATCCAGAGGCAAACACTTACTAGTAGATTCTTGTTACTAGTAGCGATGGCCTCCAACCTACTTGCGATGGCCCTCCACCTAATCTTGTCCTCGCTACTAAGCAATCGGTGCCTCCAGGTGGGGAAAGACTCCTTGAAGAACTCTGGTCTTTTCTTCGTCCCAAACCCAGTAGCTACTCACGGCGTACTCCCCTAGAACATGTAAAAAATGGATTGTAAGAAGTTTTCTAAACTAATATCATAGCAGTATAACTCTAATATCATAGCAGTATAACAGATCATCTATTCATAAAATAATTATCCCGGCAAGAGACCCCAAACAGTGTGTGTGAGGTCTGTAAGCAGAAAGTCTAGAGATCTAGACGCATTGGGGTCCAGAGAGGTGATGGTGAGGGAGTGTGAGTGGGAGAGTGAGTGTGAGTGCGAGTGTGAGTGAGAGCGAGTGTGGGTGAGAGTGAGAGTGAGAGTGAGAGTGAGTGAATGAGAGTGAGTGTGAGTGTGAGTGAGAGTGAAGGTGGTTTCGAGTGAGTGAGTGCGAGTGCGCTTGATTGCCTCACCTTTGAGACACGTTTTCCCCAAAATTTTGCCTCCCAACACCAACACCGATCCTGGTTTTTGCATTGACAGCACCAAAGCCTGTATCGTAGCATCTCTGTCAACAACTTTGCTGGAATTCATGTGACTGTCTGCAAGCGCAACAAGGCTCTCCAAATAGGTCTGAGCATCAGTCTCGTTCCTACTGGCGGCTTTTTGCACCGCTACCCAAAAACTGTTTGTTTCGCCCGCGTCAACACGAGGAGGTAGACCACGTAGCTTCACTGAACGCGGTGGATTTCTTGTTGTCTCTGTTGTCAAAAAGCATGCAACCACACTTGCCCAAAGGACAAATGCGAGTGCACCACGCCATTTGCGTGAGCAGGACATTTCATGAAATGTAGTCAAGTATTGGCCATCGCTAGTAGGTTGGAGGCCATCGCTATTAGGTTGGAGGCCATGGGGGGCGGAAGCTTCCAAAAGGAGCTTCCCAACCCAGGACCTGAGGTATTGTCACATTGGGGTGGTATGTTTTCACTTGCGATGACGTGTGGTCCATGTTGTGATTCGTCAGGTGAAGTGTACTTCAAAAGAAACCGAGATTGCTCTTCTTGCCCAGTGTCAATTGCACAGTTCTTTCTGAAGGTCCGCTTGCCAGTAACTCCAAAAGTTCCTAATGCATTTCATGAAAAACAACTCTTCTCGAAGCGGGCTGGGAAAGGCTGGGAATGACCGCGAACGGAGGTGCTTTTCTGTAAGAAGCAACCATTAAGAATATCATTGGCATCCTGGCCTCACATGCAAATAATGTCCTCGTTGCGTGGGACAGGAGAAAAGTGCACAACATGATCAATGAGGCAGAAAGGTGTAAAAAGGAAAAAACACTCAGAGGCCATGGATTGATTATGTGTTTGAAGGAAAGTCGCCCCTTGCCACTAAAACCGTCTTGGAAGAAAAACAATGACAGCCTAAGCAATCTAAGCATGTTTGACTTCATTGAGTGCTTCATGTTTCATTAAGATTTGTCAGAGAATGTCTACAACAAAGTGTGTAACAGCTTCAAACACAACGTAGCTTTATTTTCTTTCAATGACTACATATGTTGTTGCCAAAAGTGCATTTTATCTGCTCCATGTTCTTTTGACTGTTCAGCCTTTTTCAGATCATATTTCTTATAACTTGGAGGCCATCGCTAGTAGGTTGGAGGCCATTCCTATTGGGTTGGACCTACAGGTTGGAAACCGTGACTATCGGCTTGTTTGGCATTCATCTGTTGGACGTTCGCAGGTGGGGGCACTTGTTACTAGAAGCGATGCACTTGTTCCTAGTAGCGAACCTTGTTACTACTAGTAAGGCACTTGTTACTAGAAGCGATGCACTTGTTCCTAATAGGAAACAGTGTTTTTACTATTTACAGTTTGTGTACTGTAATTTCCTAAATTGTTGCTTCGGTTTGCCAGTTTCGTCTCATCTCACAAGTTATTGTTGTAATGTCTCAAACAGTTTGGCTGTAATCTAGGAGTTTCTGCACGTAATTTCTCCAAACTTTAAGAGTTGCAAACGGACATGTTTTTGGTGTGTCCAAAAGAATTGTTGATGTGTGCCATACATGCCTTAGTTTCTTGTTAACGAACATATGGGATACTCTTACTATTGTAGGTCATATGTACAAGACCTGCGCTAAAAAAAGGGTGGTCGGAGACAACATGTAAAAGAACGGAACATATCATGCGCAAATCACCCCACCTTATTAAACCGGAAAGAGTGACACGTACGTATTCTCACATGGATTGCCAGCAAATTAGTCTAACAATGAAAATCGCATCTAAAGCAGTTTATCAGAAAACACACGAATCCAATTCGTTTATAGAGAAAGCAAAATAGATGTTATTCACGAATAGTCTAAGCCGATCCATAGGGTAGCTCAGAGCGCTCAGTCAAGCGCTCGTCCTTGTGGAACACTTTTTGGTTCAACGCACCCTCTGGTGAGACAGTGAAACATTCAGCGCCCGGATTCTTCGACCAAGGCAGCAGGAGAAAACTAGTCACTAACGGTCAAACGGGCTTTCTCCGGACAGAAAAGCAAAGAGCAGCCGATCACCCCTTCCAGAAAGAATAGCGAAAGGAAGAAAGAACATGAAAAGCAAGAACGAAGTCAAATAGACATGGAAAAACACAAGTCAAACGTTCTATCTGGCCTCAAGAAATGGAAGGAAACACGGAAAAACAAGAAAGAAAGGTCTATAGAAAGAAGCGACACACACACACACACGGCTCTTTCCATCGTTTACCAATACGAAGCACTGACGTCTTTTCTCTTGAAAGGATCACTGTTTGCAAGAAGCATTTGAAAAGCATCCTATGAGAACATTCTTAGTATTCCGAGATTCCAATTCCTAGTTTTTCATTTGTACTTAATCTATGAATTACGAATACTAATTAGCACCTAATAAATTCAATTTGTGATTCCTCATTAGTACTCTTATTACCTCTAGGAGTCTTGAAAGCCCGTTTGGCGGAATCTGCCAGCCTCAGGTCTTGTTGCTGTCACCGGTGACTTCCGGAGGTTCCTCGAATTGAAATTATCAAATAGTTTTCTGCTTCATTATTTTTCTCTTTAGACGTTTTTGGCAATGTTTTTTCTTAAAGCCCACTCCTACTTAAATCAGTAGGTGCCTGCTTAATTAAGTAAGGCTAAGGCGACACTAGTTCGCTAGGAGGCTAAGTTAGCTTCTACTAACTGAACACAGGATAGCTCACGCTTCTTCAAGGAAGCTCCCCCCGCCTGAGGGTGGGGGGAGCATGTTTGAAGAAGCGCTCGCACTAGTCATTTGGTTCCTAGATTTCTAGGGAAACTGAATCCTACAAAACCTGTTGCAGCCCTTCTGATTCCATGCAAACAAGAATGGTTTGATGTGCTTTTCTTTCCCTTCAGACCTTTCTTTCTTCCGAAGATTTGCAAAACGCTTCAATGCAGTTCGAGCTTGGAAAACCAACGGCAAAAACACATGTTCCAACAGTCGCTGTGCTCCTCCAGCCAGCAAACAAAGTTACCATGCTCCCATTGTGATTTTCTGGAAAGGCCTTGTCAGGCAGTGTCAAACGCCTCAATAATTTCTCACATGTTGAACTGATTGCTGAAGTGTTGGCAGTTTGACCCCTTTCGCAACAAGAGAGTGTGCTTCAAGGATAGTATCAAATGCCTTGCTGGTCGTAACAACTACTAGTACAACAGCCAACTTCTTCTCTTTCTCCAAAACCATCAGATGGTCTTGGCACAAAGCAATGGTGGGCACCCAAAGGGAAGGTCTCTACTTTTTTCTTGCACATCGACACCAGCCTTTTGCAGTGACGGCGATTCCAACTCCATGTTGGCGGCCACTGTCCCACTGTCCTGATGGGTTCAACGGTTCACCACTTTCGCGAGAAGTGAAGGACACGTCTAAACAAAGAACGTATGTACTGCGTTCTTAAACACTATTAAGTTGGAGGCCCTTTTGCTATCAGGTTGGAGGCCATCGCCAGTTGCGAAAAGAAGGCTCCCCAACTCGTCAAGTGGAAGAACAAAGCCAACTTTTGTTCTTCGCTGTATTTCACAGGGACATGGACGACAGTCGGCGGTGCCTGTGTAGGATCTACCATCCGGCCAAGAAAGCTTGCCTTCGCCATGCTTCTTGCCTGGAATGCCCATGAAACGATGAACATGGAGGCCATCGCTAGTAGGTTGGAGGCCATCGCTACTAATACCTTTGTCCGTGATGGACATGAACACGAACAGCTGGCACGCGCAAGTGACGCGGTGACTGGCCAGCTGGAGGACCAGAATGGCCAAAAGATTGTATGTGAAGATGGCTCAAACAGATCTCTTCCTTGTAATGAGCAGAAAACGGTTACTCTGGTTAGCTCTTGTTGCAAGACAAAGTACGGGAAACAAAGGAACAATCAATTGCTTAGGCCTTTAGTCTTCAGTCCATTTATGTCCATTCAACATGTTCCTCTCTAAGCCTTGCAAGCCCTATTACAAATCAAACATGCCAGCCGAACCATCCCTGAACTGGCCCTCATAACATCGCCCATCCGTCCACTTCATGGTGCCAAATGGGCCCATATGGTTCCTGACACAGCTTCTGCCTCCAACCTACTAGCGATGGAGCACAATTGTTTTCTCTCCAAATGTTTTATCTTGAAAGGGTAACGTTTCTTCAATGCACTTTGCAGGAACTAACATTTGGCTCTAAGTGAATACTTTGATTGAAGCTAAATATTGCAGCTCCATGTGCCACTCAGAAAAAAAATCAAATGCATCGGCTTCGTTTTCTTTTTAAGAACAATATTTGGCGCATTAACTCTGTCACATCTTCTTTCTTTCTCCCTTCACTTTGACTTTCACTTCCTTTCTTCTAGGAGCAAGGACGCTACGAACGGGGCTCCTGGCCTTACTACTAGGAGCAAGAAGCTATTATCTACTTCCTTTCTTCTTGTTTCTACTAGCTTCTTGTTACTACTGGTAAGGCACTTGTTACTACTAGCGATGCACTTGTTCCTAGTAGCGTCCTTGTTACTCTTCCTTTCTTGTTTCTGAGTTCTTCACTTTCATTTCAGTCCTGCGCCACTGCCCTGTATAACTTCGGCCGTCGCTCCACTGATACCGGCCCTCGCCGTGCATATCATTGGCATCAAAGTCGCCCTGCCAAAAGCAGTTCTGCCGTTTTTTTGCCGTTTTTATGCGGCAAATCTGCGGATTTGAAGATAGGATGCTATTTATGTATATCTATCGGATCTATCTGGTACCCTTGTGGCAACAATGTTTATTGAATTCAAGCACTTTGCTCAACTATCAGGGGGAATGTACCAGGCATATCACCAACTGTGTGGTTTCACATCTGACTATTTGGATGAGCATCTGTATCTGCTGAACCAAGGACAAAGGAGTCAAACGAAGAACACAGACTTCCTATGATTAAGTGCGGCCCAAACAAACGCTAGGCTTGCTTTTTGGGGTTTTGCTCACTGCCATCAGTATCAAACAAAGCGTGTCCCTGCTTGCTTTCTGCTGTAATATTCCCTTCACTGGCAGGTTAGGTCAGCGATTTCTTTGGATACCAAATCCATGTAAGGATGCAAATACTATGCCTTTAAGCTAGGCGCTTTTTATACATTTGCATCTAATATCCTTTTCGGGCATCCTGCTGTATACTTTCTTGTTTTGAAACAAACACCAAAAGGAAACAACCACCAAACGGACGCCTGTTTAGCATTTCCTGTTTCTGCATAGAGTGGAAGAATCTTGGTTGGAATTCTGTGTATTTGACACTTTCCCATACAAAATGTCTATTTAATTGCATAGCTGAATCTGAGCAAAATACCTTCTTGTGTGGGTGCATTCTTGCAGCTTGACACTCACGATTTTAAAAACACAACTGCCTCCCACCTACTTTTATTCAAAAAACATTTGGTTACATGTCGGTGCAACTGTCTTTACTCAAGGCATTCTACCTGACAGCTGCGCTTTCTTCGTGTGAAAACACCCTCTCAGTTTGTATGGAATCGCACACATAAGACGAGAGATCTTCCTGGCGGGCAAGCAGGCATTATTCTTGAAACGAGCTTCGTTTGAAAGACAGTAATATATAATATTAGAACTTCTGAACAACAATCTTCGTTGAAGGTAAGTAGGTGTTTTTCTTAACAAGTGGGTTGGAGACGTGCAACAAATGGCATTCACCGGGCTAACATTGGCATCGAATAATGTAGCTCGAAGTAATATAATCACTGCGGCATAATACATTGTCTATAAGAATTGTTGTCAAGATGCACGCTTTACTGTTTAAACAAATCTGCAAAACAAGACTTCTGCAAAGATTGAAGGCTTTACTTGAACAAACATGCATAAGCAAAAATTCTACCCGTAACCAAAAAGTAGAGCAAGGCTGTCTTTTTTGATGCAATTGAGTTGGAGCTCACATTACAAGGGTCCTATTGTAGTCCATTAACATGTGTTGCAAGCCTTGAGTTTGTTATGCTTTGATTTTGAGCAAGTAGTAGGCAAACGTGTTCATTTTACTTACAAGTTTGCTGCATTGTGAATGTCATTAGGACGAGGTTTCTACCTAACATTGCCAAGCATTGTATAAGGTAAACAGGGATACAATACAACTCTACTATTCAATGATGATATGGGGCTCATACTGGAGTGAGGTGCCTCCTTCCTATTTTCGCATGCCGAGACATTGCAGTGGGCTTGTGCCTGAATCCTAGGTGCCAGGGGGATGGCATAAAAAAGAAAAACATATACAGTAGCTACATTGGGTCTATCCTATTACCTGTAACAGTGGATGATGGTTAGTAAAGGCCTTGTTCAAAAATAGTGACAATTGTTTACTGACTGATGATAGGACTGTTAGATACTGTTAGTAAAGGCCTTGGTAAGTTCGGACAGCTCCAATATCTATCAGGGATGATCGATTCCTTGCACTTCAGCGGCTGTGCCTCATAGGAACCACCTGTGTTCCAGGTGAATTTGCCCTTGCCGGACTTGTCGCCATTCTTGAACTGGCCCTGTCAACGGATTGAACACCGCTCCGAGACCTTTTTGAATTCTGAAACCGAGGTTGTCACTCAGGTCCACCGTAGCATGACTCTTCGGGAAATGCGGAAGATGAATCTCACAGTCTCATACATCTTGTCCGCACTCTCAACTTCATTCACTAGACTGGCCTCCATCGCCACTGCTTCTAGGTTGGAGGCCATCGCTTTTGAGTTTTTCTAAAAACTCCATGCTACTAGTAGTGTCCGATCGCTCCTAGTAGTAAGGCCAGGAGCTACTAGTAGCATCCTTGTTGGAGGCCTTTTCTGTCCAAAGTCCCAATCTCGGCGCTTGAGTCACCTCGAAGACTGAACCGTCCACAAGCTTCTCTACACCGTGGCCATCTTGAACCTGCGGAACCAAACGAAACAACACCAGGCAATTGACGGCAAAACCGCGCGGCAAAGGGCATCGCTACTAGGAACAAGGACGCTACTAGTTGCTCCTGGCCTGACTACTAAAAGGATGTTACTAGGGGCTCAGTAGAAATGAACGAAAGATCCAAACGAAGGATCCAAAAGTGACACATGGCGATGCTGGGGCGGTGGTTTCTGATGTGGTGACATGTGACGAAACATGATTAATGAAACACCCATTGGTGAGTGTCACTTTTGTGATGCAGCAAGTATCCTCCCACTGGTATCTGCAAGTCAACAACATAACATAACAATCGCTACTGCAGCATGATTGTTTTCTTCTAAGTTGGAGGCCATCGCTATTAGGTTGGAGGCCATCGCTAGTAGGTTGGAGGCCATCGCTAGTAGGTTCCTTTCGCTATTGTGTAAGCGCTTTCACGAGGTCACCAGATATTCAACCTCAACACGGAAATTGATCAGAGATGACATGGTGTTCATGTCAAGAAAAGGATTGCCAGGAGAAAAATTGAACTTGTTCAAGTGAGCCCTGCTTCAGTCTGAACAATCTATCGTGTGCATCAAAAATCGATAAACATCATGAGTGCAAGCGCAGTTAAATGCTGCGCAACTCAACGCTGTTGTCGGGTAGGCATTCTCTACTTCTCCACACTGCTCTTCAAACATAATCTCTCCTTAGGTTGGAGGCCATCGCTTGTAGGTTGGAGGCCATCGCTCTTAGGTTGAAGGCCATCGCTCTGAGGTTGGAGGCCATCGCTCTTAGGTTCCTTATGCCATTAGGTTGCTGGCCATTCCTCTTAGATTGGAGTCTAGAAATATCTACTGGTTCTACATTTCTCAACTCTTTCTCTAGTAAGTACACGACTCTGAACCTTTTCTCTGGTCTTGAAATGTTGAGGCTTTGCCTAAACCTGACATGCCATTGTGATTTAGATCGAGTTGTACACCTGAGGTTGCCCTGCCACGTTATGACACCGTGATATTCCCAGACCAAATTCTCCACATCGCCACCATCGCCACCAAACCCTCCAAACAACCTAACAGCCGGAGTCACCCCTCTCGGATGCACATGCAACTTTTATGTCGCATCTCTGGCGTCTCTCATTTCGTTCTTTTAGCTATCAATCAGGTTGGATGCCATTGGTAACAAGTGGCTAGAAGCTACTAGTAACAAAAAGCTACTAGGGGCTCCTGGCATCGCTACTAGGAGCAAGGACGCTACTAGGGGCTCCTGGCCTCACTACTAGTAACAAGAAGCCACTACTAGTAGCTCCTGGCATTACTACTAGTAGCTAGAAACTATTAGGTTGGAGGCCATAGGCCATTGCTGCTAGGTTTGGAGGCCATGTCGAAACATGAAAAAACTACTGTGGATTGTGGTGTCTCTGTTTCAAAACCCAGGAAATCGGGACTTCTTGGGACACAATAGAATACAACTGAGCTGCCACTCAACAAACATTTCCCAAACCAATTTAACAAACCTCTCCTTCACAAGATATTGTGACCCTTGAAGCAACCTACATTCTCCTGCGGCATGCTTGCTGACCAATGACATTCTCTCATCGATTGTTACTGTGACAAACAAGATTGAACCCACGAACCCACATGCAAACGTGCAATCGAAAACACATGGCCAAATTTTGTTTGATACTCCTGTGGCACACTCTTGTAAGACACTCTTGTGGAAACTGTTCTGGGCACTCTTGTGCGACGCTCTTGTCGCGGAACACTCTTGTGGGACGCTCTTGTGGAAAGCTCTGGTGCGACACCTTTGTGGGGCACTCTTGCAGGACACGCTTGTGAAAAACTCTTGTGGGGCATTCTTGCTTCCTCCAAAAGTCACGCATCAAAGTCTCCAAAACGAGCGTTTCCTTTTCGAGACTTCCTCCCAAACTCACGCATCAAGTCTGCAAAGCGAGCATTTCGTACGAGACTTATTCCTTCAATCAGTGCAGCGGGAAGTCTCGAATCCCAATGTCACAGCCACACTCACCTCCACCAAACAACTCCCTTCACCTGCCACGAAAATTCAAATTCGACGCCTCCAACACTGCGCCTGCCACGAAAAGTGACGACGTGACATCTTCATGTAGTCAGCAAAGTTTGCACCACACCACATGCTTGGAATGATTTCGGCGCGTTCTGAGTACCTCAAAATTGCAAGCTTAGCTGAGACTTGTCGCCGAAACACGGCTTCGAGGCAATAACGCAAACCCCAATGTCACAGCCACATCCAATACCCCCAAGACACCGCCCTCTAAACGCAAGTCCCAATCTGACTGCGAAGAAAACTGCAGATCTCACAAAACGGGCGCCTGCGGAGTAAAATCATCCTCCACACTTCATCCTGTTACGCTTCCACACGTTTCCTTGCTATTTCACACGAATCTGAGACGTCATGCTTCCATCCAAAACCTTCTCCAAAAGCTTCGCCCAATGTCAGCGCCGGTCTACCGCGAACGGTTGCGAACGCTACGACCACGAGTCGCGAAGAAGACCCCAGACCCGCAGAGTTCAACGAGGACCCTTCGCTACGCATTAACAACTACCCGCTAGGCCTCCATTTTCCATTGCCCTTCGTAGGTGGAACCATTGCTGTAGGTGTACCTGGTGTGATTTCTTTTGCCAATCAGTCTGCCTCAAGCCAACAGCCTTTTGAGGTTCTGGCTTTCCAACACCATGCTTTCGGTCGGACTCAAACTGCCCCTCATATTTGGAGCCATCTGCGAAGATCAACTTGCCCTTGACAGGAGAGTTCAGAAAAGGCTTCAAACACTTGTTGGATCGTTTCTCTTCAAGTTTCGTCACTCAGAGCCTCCCCATGTTTGTCTTCTCCACGCCATTGTCCTTCCTGAAAAGTGCCAAAACAAAAAACGCTGTTTCTTTTGGAAAAACCACACACGAAAAGTTCAAAACCCAGGATGCCAGGCATACGTTGCACCCCCGCTCAAAGTCTGACCACCGGGTGTCTTGTCCGAACCTGGCAAAGACGGGGGCACATAAAAGCAAAGATGCGCGTCATGATGCACTCTGTTTTTTGTTGTTGTTTTAAGCAAATGTATTATTCAGTGTTTTTCCATGTTGTATTCCTTTTCTTCGAATCTCTTACTTTCCTCATCTTTCCTCTCTAGATCTCTCTAGTAGTTTTTCCAAAACTTCTTCCTATTATTTGTCAAGAATTGTGCCTGGTCTGTCTCTGGCAGAATAGGCCTTGATAGTCCGCGGCGCTTGAATCAGGGAAACTCTGAACTGAAAGCAAAATCCACAAACGTCAAAACATAGCTGGCAGCCGCCATCTGGCACAAACAAAATGATCTGGAACCAACTAGAAATTAAAAGAGCTTGCTGCATCAGCATTAGGTAAACGTATACTATTATTCACAAAGCAAATGATGTGAGGAGTCTCAATTGACACAAGACTGCTCATATCGTGAGGAATACTGAGAAACAGTGTGCAAAACATTTGTAAATGTAGAAAGGATGTGAACAAATCCAAGCCTTTGTATGAGAAAATGATTCCTAACAACCTCGGTGTGAAGGAGGCCATTGCTCTTAGGTTGGAGGCCATCGCTCTTAGGTTGGAGGCCATCGCTCT